TCGTGTTGCCTTTCATTGCGACTAGGAGGGCTCGATAGGACACTTATCCATATATTTTCCACAATCCATCCGCACCATCAATCTCTTTACCGTTCACCTTCATAAGGAGATTTTGGTTTCTTTATTATCTTATTTCATCTTTCATTTATTTATCTTTTGTTTATTTATTCTAATCGTGTTGTCTTGATTTCAGCACATAAAAGAAACCCTAAACATCTAGCGATTGCCGCCACCTTCCCATTCATCACCTTTGTTCTTCATCGAGTCTAGAGCTTTCTAGGTTTGATTCTTCAACAAGAGCAACGTTCATCCGCCACCGCTTCCCTATCAATTGGTATCAGATTTGGGCCGATTCTTGGAAAGAAGCAAGCAATTTGCTTGTTCTTGCACACAAAACCGTCAAGGTACCCCAACGGAGCTAGTTCAGAGAAGATTCATCGTTTCAGGTTTTTTATTTAATTTTAATTTAGATTTAAATCTTTCTTGTTAGTTTGCTATTTTTTTCAAAAAAAAAAACAAAAAAAAGGCACAAAAAAAAAGTAAAAAAAGCCAAAATTTCAAAAAATTGCAAACGAAGGTATTTAGGGCTGATTTTCTGCAGATATCATATCCATCTTAATTTTAATCTCTAGTCCAAAATTCACTCCAATCAGAGTTCATTAGAGCCTTCAAATACATCATTCAAGTTTTATCGGTAGATTCGGTCTAGAATATTGTCGAATTTCTTGAAAATTCTACAGGAGGAATTTTGTGGTGAAAATTTCCAGATTGAAACTTCATATATTTGATATCATTCACACACAAAATCAGAATTTTTGGAGATCAAGAACAACTTCGAACAAAGCGATCAAGAAAAATAGATTGTTTGAAGATCACCGTTCAACAGAGTTACTGGATATACTGAAGGTATTTGGTTCTGAAATTTTACAGGTGATTTCTTGACGCATCGAAAGACATTCAAGAATTTTTCCAGAATTTTTGGATACCGTTAACCCGCTCAAAAATGTTGCTCAAGTTGATCCAGCGTTTTCCAGGTTTTCTGGTTTGGTCCTTTTTTCTTTGACTCTTAGTGCTTTAGGTTCTTTTGTTTTTCTCTGTTATTGTTCTTTTGCATTATCTAACACATTATCTTCCTTGTGTTAGTAGGACTAAAGAGTTTGCATACTTCTTCCTTCTTTGCATTCTCGTTCTCTTGGAGTCTAACCTTTGTTTGGCCTCTTAGAACTTTTAAGTTTTTTTTCTTATCGCCTTTGCTAGTAATCAAACTCCGATACAAACTGTGGAAGACTACTTGGTAAAGTGAGTTTTAAAGAGTACAAGATCGGCTTACTTGCCTCTCGTTGTGTTACTTTCTTGGAGTGACTTGTGAGGTTTTGCTTTGTTGAATTTTTCCTTTTTTTTATTTTACTTTAAAATTTCTTTTGAGTGTTATGATTCAGGATGGACGACAATAACAACAAGACACTTAGGCTATCTTAGCCACACTTACCCGACTCACGACTCAAGTTGAAAGATTTGATGAAATCGTGAGAGAACGACAAAAACCACAACTGGATCTACCAAACCAGAATCCAAGACCAAACAATGCTGAACTTTTTGTACCCGGGCGAGAACAACCACGTTTTCAAGCACCCGAACTCTTTGCAAAACCAAAGTTCACAATCCCGTCTTTCAAAGGACACAATGATCCAGACAGGTACATCGAATGGGAAGGAAAAGTTGATCTCATATTCGCATATCATGACTGCCCCCAAGCTAAACAAGTTCACCTCATCACCACACAATTCGAAGGATATGCTCGAACGTGGTGGATGCAAACAAGGAAAAAGATCCAGAACTTCCAAATTCCAACAATCACTTCTTGGACCGACCTTAAACAAACCATGAGGAAGCGATTCCTACCGACATATTATACACGTGAAGTTAAACTACGACTAGACCGACTTCGACAAGGTAGAAGTTCAGTTGAAGAGTACTATAAGGAGATACAGTCCTTACTCAATAGGGCTAACATAACCGAAAAAGAAGAGGTCACCGTGTCAAGATTCATCGTCGGCTTAAACTCAAACATCATTGATCTTCTTGATCTACAAGGGTACGAAAACCTTGAAGACGCACTAAAGAAAGCAATGACAATCGAAGCACAAATCCAAAGGAAATCTCGATTCAGTGAACATTACCAAGGTACTTCATCCTCTTATCAAGGTAATCCTTCAAATCCTTCCTCATCTTTCTACTCCATCTTCTCAAAAAAAGCCAAGAGATGAAAAACCTGACAAGGGAAAGAACGACCAGCAAAGAATGACACACTTCCAGTCCCTAAGATCAAATGATAATTTGTGAGGAGGTAGGGAAAGCAAAAAAGAAAAAGCTGAGAAAGAGGCAAAAGCAAAGAGGTCACTAGTTACAAAGCCAAAAGAATAAAACCCATGGGAGGTGAGTGAACCTAATTGTGAGAAGAAAAGAGTGACTCAAAATCAATATGTGAGCACAAAAGAATTGAGAGAGAACCTTATTTACAAACAGCCTTTCATCCTTGTTCACTTTAGGGAATCAATTGTTTCGATCTCTAACATTAACAAGGATTTGCCTAGTGTATTTTCATCTTTGTTACAAGATTTTCAAGAAGTGTTAGGTGATCCACCTAACGAATTACCACCGGAAAGAGGAAAACAACACCAAACCAATCTAATTCAAGGTTCCATCATACTCGTCAAAATACAATATCGAAGAAACCAAAGAGTTAGATTTGTTACGAAAAGCCTACATCCAGGAAAGCCTTAGTTGTGATGTCATCTTAATGACGAAACAAGATTTGAACAACTCCAAAGGCTTTATAGTTCGTGCACCGGGACTCCATGTAAATGATGAGAAAGTAAAAACAACACGAGACTGGCCCACACCATTTTCCATCGCTAAGAGTTATCGAATAGTGCTAGGTGACCCTCCTGATGGGTTACCACCTGAAAGCCCTAATCACTATTCCATATCAATGAAGAGCCACCAGTTACTAGAGTCCAGAGGTAAGTATTTATTACTCATTTTAATGATATTGTAACGTACTCTTCTCCTTTTACAAGGTAAGGCTCGTGAAGTTGTCATCCACACTAAGCACGACTCCTTTAAGTGCATAACAGACCGAGGTAAGCAAAACACAGTAGACGATGCACTACCACGAAGGTATACTCTTACCTATAAAACGCATATTGAACATATCAAAGATGTATATCACAATAACTCAGATATTTCTGATATTTCTACCCATACTTTCAAAAGTGCTTTTAATGAGCTTTATCTTGTATATGAGTTTCCTTGTCAACTAAATAGGTTCTACAGTCCACAAATCTCCTCCCGAGAATTCTTAATTAATGAACCACACTTAGGAGACTTAAGTGATTACTTTAACAAACCAGTTGACATGGTTTTTAAACACTCATTCTCGCCACACACGAATAAAACCATGGAGAAATTATCTGAAGCAATCATACAGAAAGCCAACAGTGGTCGGCGCCATCTTGAATTTCAACCAAAACATCAGATTACAAGACTTGTATGCAAAGAGGATTTCAAGACTACAAGAAATCAGTTTCTACAAGAAGAAACCTCGATAAAACGCATAAAGACACATCACATTGATCCTGGTAAATGTTCACAAGTTTTCCTTTCAACATATATAATTCTCTTTGTTTGGATTTTCAGATTCGAGGACGAATCCTTTGAGGAGTGGGGGAATGATACATGCACCAGAGTCCATAATACATGCTTCTTTGGACTAATGTTTCTACTCGAACCTATTAGAAGAACAAAGTCTCGAAGATTCAAAGCATATCTATTCGGTAAGTATAATGTGAATGAATCATTAAACGATTCTAATGTTGCTCCCTTTAATGTTTCAGATTCGAGGTCGAATCTTTTGAAGAAAGGGAGATGATACATGCATCACAAGGCTCACATCAAAAGAAGAAGTAATAACTCTTCCAAATGATCCACTCGTCCAAGCATTGGAAAAGAAGATCAGAACAGAAGCAGACTTACGACGACTTTTTGAATGGGATCCTGATCTTATTTAGTCAAGATATCTTCTGAAGATACGACCTTCTGTCTCTTATCTTTCTAACGGTTCTTGAATCGCATCAATCCGATATCGGGAACTCAAGATATGACTATTTTACTGAAGACGGTGCATGCAGAAAATCCTATACGGAATTAATACGGGATTTTGTAAATATTACGAATTTTCAATATTTTTATTGATTATTTGTAATATAACTTAATATAGGATGATGCATTATCTTTTAGGATTAGATTTATTATTTTATTAGGAATTAAGGTTGTGTTACAAATATTATATTTAGTTATTATTATTTTATTAGGAATTAGAGTTAAGATATTTAGTTTATTATTATTTATTCATTAGTTATTTAGGACCTTTAGAACTCAGCCCCTATATAAAGGAGGCTTCATTAAACTTTGTAAGGCAAGATTTCTTTGATCAATAATACAACAAGAGTTTGTTTTTGCAAGTGCTGATTGCTTTGTGCCTTCGAAGCTTCTTCTCCTGGAGTTCTTTCAAGTTCTTGTGAGGGAGATTAATCTTCACACTTCAATTTGCCTTTCTATCGCGACTAGGAGGGTTGGTTAGAGCCATTTATCGTGTTTGCCTTTTCATTGTGACTAGGAGGGCTCGATAGGACACTTATCCATCTATTTTTCCACAAATCCATCCGCACCATCAATCATCTTTACCGTTCACCTTCATAAGGGAGATCTTTTGATTTCTTTATTATCTTATTTCATCTTTCATTATTATCTTTTGTTTTTTATTCTAATCGTGTTGTCTTGATTCCAGCACATAAAAGAAACCCTAAACAATCCTAGCGACTGCCGCCACCTTCCCATATTCATCACATTTGTTCTTCATCGAGTCTAGAGCTTTCTAGGTTTGATTCTTCAACAAGAGCAACGTTCATCAATCCGCCACCGCTTCCCTATCACGTGGGGTCTTTGATGGCGTCATTGAAGGAGTACATCAACATTGGAAGCACAGAGAAGTTGTGAAGGTGATTACAATGCAGAGAGCATTCGTACGAGTTATCTATACTGCAAAATTGCTTATAGCAGAGAGTGGGGGAATTCTGGTTTCGGTGGAGAAGCTAAAAGAAGGCCATGCCATAATCATCTACCGAGGGAAAAATTATCGACGCCCTTCAAAGCTAATGACTGACAATCTTCTAACTAAGAGAGAAGCATTACAAAGGTCTATTGAATTGCAGAGAATTGGCGTAAGCTCTTTGATTTTCTTCTCACAAATCGCAACTTTACTGATTATAGAAAATTTTATTTATCCGTTTATCTGTGTTGTATTTCCAGGCTTAACTGTGATTTCTTTTCTGTTTTCTTGGTTATCAGTCCTTGAAGTTTTTTGCATATCAACGACAACAGAGAATCTTAGATTTGAAACTCAAACTGGTGAGAATTTTTTTTTTTTTGAACTTTTTTCAGTACTAATAAAATTATTTTTTCTCTCACCACATCTTCTCAAAATAGCTTTTGATACTTTCTAAAATCCATTAAAGCAAAGCTTGCACATGTTTTCTTATTTGATAGTTACACTGATATACTGGAACTTTAGGCCGAACTGAGGGAAAGAAGAGCCGGTAGTCCGCAAGGGTGACAAGCCACCAACTTATGTTCTATGCATCGTGAGATCCCCTGGAAGTTTCAGTCTTTAAACTATCGTCATATTATTTGACAGTGGCTAATGGTATCTTGCAAACTGAAAATTTTGAAATCATGTAACTTTCTATTACTAGGATTTTGATTCAAGTTTTTCATGCATACAGGCAAATATAAAGACACTTTCTGGATGAAGTGGTTGCAAGTGCTCAAGGAACGTTCACCCCTTCTGGTTTGAACGGAGAATGGCAGCCAGTATGTATAGGTCGTTCACTGGTAATGTTTGCAATAAGGAGAAGAGGAAGAGTGTCAAGACCCAGATCAAGGGCAGAGGAAAAATGATCATTTCTACCTGTTATGGTTGTTTATACATTGACCTTTAGTGTTAGTGCTGGTGTCATTGGAAGGCCACAATGATTATTCATAGGCTGACAAGATAGACAAGTGTGACTGATGTGGTCGACATGTCAATTGATTTTGGTTTTGACATATCACGCGAGATCTGGGATTATTTCAAAGGATTATGGTTTCTCAATGAGTGTAAATTCCGTGTCCCCTATGTCCTATGTCTCATATCCGGAGACCTTTTTCTACGAGAACTTCCCTTCGAAAAATTACTCGAAGGTCTTGATACGCGGAGTAGAGAAGATTCGAAAATAATATAATAATACTATATATTTTTTTATCGTTTACATATCTTTTAATTAGATGATATTATTGTATTTAAAATCATAAGCATGTAGGACATGCTTACGTAACCAATAAAGAGAAGTTTTTTGAATCCAATCTCCGAGATTCATTCATCTGTTTCGTCATTTTCTTCATTGCCAGCTTTTTGGAATATGACTTATGACAGACATTTATTAGTCAAGTCTACGTTGCAATTTTTCCCCGAGCTCTAACACTGGGAAATTTCCTTCGTTGTTCAAGTTTATTCCACTTCATCAATTTTTGCATATTTCATCATATGAACTTGTCCTATTTTCTGCAACTTAATTACAAGACAATGTTGTTTTTAATCATAATTGTAACATTTAATCATAATTTTAGGTTAAAATTACAATTACATCAACCCAATTAAAAGTCTAACTCACTGACGATGTTTCTATATAAGTTATAGGTGATCGTACAGGAGAAGATTCAACAGGTCTAGGTGGAATCGTCAATGATTGAAGCTCTCCTTGCAACATTTCCAACACTTTGCTCATTGATGGTCGATCAGACGGGTAAGATTAAATGCACCAAAGGCTCACTATTATCAGCTTCCTCCTTATTTCTTCTTCCTCATCTGTTACTCCATTAGGATCCAGGTTCATGGACCGATCAAGATTGCTGTAAATCCATGAAGGAAAATATATTTCACTGGTTTGAGACACTCCCACATCGATATTTTTTCTTCCTCCCACCATTTCAAGGACCATCATTCCATAGCTGTACACATCTGATTTATAAGAAACCCCACCGAAGTTTCGACAAACCATTTCTGGTGCAATGTAGCCAATTGTTCCTCTAGCACATGCCATGGAGATAACACTCTCCATTCTTTCACATAATTTGGACAAACCGAAATCCGAGATCTTCGGACAAAAGTTGCCGTCTAAGAGGATGTTGTGAGGTTTTATGTCGAAGTGCAAGATCCTTGTGTTGCAGCCTTGATGCAAGTATTCGAGTCCTCTGGCGATGCCGACTGCAATGTCGTATAACGTTTTCCACTCCAATTGACGATTTTGATGGTGCAGTACTCGATCGTAAATGAATCGGTCCAACGATCCATGGGGCATGAATTCATAAACCAAAGCTCTTTTTGATCTCTCAAAGCAAAAACCAAGTAAAGTTACTATGTTAACATGAGAAGTTCTGCTAACGCTGGCCACTTCGTTCATGAAATCCTCCCCATTTCCCTTGGATTCACCTAGGACTTTAACAGCAACAAGACGACCGTCGGGAAATTTTCCTTTATATACTGTACCATATCCTCCTTGACCTAATTTATCACTAAATTTATTTGTCATTTTCTTGATTTCGCCATAGAAATATCGCCTTGGTGTAAGAGAACCAAACTTTTTTATGAATGCCTCAATCTCTGCATGGTCGTTCATCTTCTGCCGTTGTTGCCGGAAACGTAAAACTCCGATTCCTAGAAGTATACCGACTACGGCTGCACCGGCTATTCCTATTCCGAGGCCTGAAGATAAAAGAAGAGACTGATTAAACTTGGTTCCTGCAATGCTAGAAGTTCTGGGAAACAATGCAATTGGGAAACAATGCAATATTGTTACTAATGGGGTACTAGACTATACCTTGTCCAAGCTTGGCAGGGATGTTATTGCCTCCTGCAATAGTGAAAAATCTCAACATGTTGGCTAAAATTCACTGGAATTACTTCTTCGCAAAAGCAAAAAATAAAAATAGCAAATTGATCTGAATTGTATTCAATTTTTATATGCATGGGATTGGTTTGCTCCAAAGGTCATCGTTGGGTTGAGCACGAAGCTCATGTTAGATAGATGACTTAGCAACTCGGTAACACAAGGTGATATTGATGGAGCAGGTCAGGCCGGAAGCCCGGTATGCCAATGTGAAGGTGTGAAACGCCGGGAAGAAAACAAATGGGAAACGTTGAATTTGAACAACCATATCTTAGTCGGAATTGTTCATCAGTTCACGAGATATTTCAACAGGCGTAAACATAGAACGAAGATGTACCTGGAGACCTTTTGGGACAAAGATCGCCTTCTGATTCTGGGCAGTAGTAACATTCAAATTCACCTGTGGAGTTACGCCCGCACTGACCACCGTCGTTTAAACAACCCTCACACTGAGTATCATCTGCAGACCACTGCAGAATAAACCCAACTTTCACCGCTTCTTCCAAAGCATCCGGATTCTGGTTTCGCTCCAATAACGAAACTTGGGAATTCGGGACTGGAATAATCACTCTGTCACTGCACAATCCCAAGTAATTGCCGACGGCAGTTCCCCAGAAGTCCCCTATCACATAATAACCCATCGTGTTTCTCTCGTTTATTGGGCATTCGAATTGATGAGAAATCTGCCTGATTGATGTGAGATTTACTGGAACTGCGAGAGACTGACAACCATAATACAGGCTTATATTTCGAGTATCCGGGGTGTATTGAAAAGGGCTGTTTTCGAAACTGGAGTTTTGGAAACGAGTGGGACAAATATCGTCACGGTAATCTGTTCTAGAAACATTAAGGGTTTTTGAAGAATTGTTTATTGCAAGAACTCGGTATGTAACATCCATGATCGTGATTTCTGGCTCATTTTCGTTGCAGTGGAGCTGGAATCCAGGGTATCCGCAACTTTCCGGCCGATTCAAGTCCGATCCCCAGAAAGGATAATCGATATTCGAAATGCTTCCACAACTAGGTCGAACACTGCAGCTCAAGAAACTGTTGGCAAACACATATTTGGGAAAGAAATTCAAGAACAAGCTTAGGAAGAAGATGAAGCACGAAGAGGGATGCATTTTTCGGAGAGAAGAGTTGGAAGCGAATTATTGGAAGTGGTTGGACATGAAATGAATTGGTGTTTATCTTCATAATCAAAGTAGTTGGTTTTGACGAATTCCAAGTTGAAATTTTTCCACAGGAAGCTTCTGTTGCAGGTCACATTTAAGGGACAGTCAACGGAAAAATTAGGTAGCCTGACATAGAAATATTATAATCATAAGTGTAAAGAACATGGTTTAATAAAATACTGCTCTCAGGACTCGGAACTCAGAATGTATAAACTCAGTTCGAGTTTCTTAAAGCTTGAGGAAAGCATTTCTCACCAGGCATATGTATTTCTAGAATTGAGGCCTATAGCACTTAAATTCGTTATCATATGCCCTGCAGTTTACCTGGACCTTACTACAAGAGAGTCTCCATATGGTAAGAACTTATACACAGAGCGACAAGGTGACTCGACATCGCTTAGTCTGGTTCGATTTTCATATCCCTCGGCATTCGATCATTTCATGATTGGTAACTCTTGATAGATTCCCTACTAAGTCTAGATTGTTCAGTTGGGGATGGATATATCAATTGACTGCATACTCTGCAACAACGAGGAAGATAAAGTAAATCATTTGTTTTTTTTTTACTGCAAGAGGAGTTGGGTTGGGCTGTGAGCGAGACCAAGAGGAGAGCTGCAACCTCAGAGATTCTATTAATTTCTTGGAATGCATACATTTATTATATCTCGAAATAACGAAATAATAGGCCTCACGGACGTCAAGGAAGGTCGGAAACACATTTGTGTAGCCTCTTGGTGAATAATGTTCGATATAGACTTGATTGAATCGAGAAACTTGATTCTTCTTTTTTGAAAAATGAGAAACTTGATTTAAACCTTGTGAATAGAGCTCTTACTGCAGATAGTATACTTAGCACACATGTGGTCCAGAGAAGGAAGAAAGCATTTCTCATCATAGACGCTTCAGATTGGCTGTAAGATTAGGATAAAAGGATATGTCTCTACATTGGTATTAAACCGGTCAAAGTCGTTAAGTCATTGGCTGCTTAGAGAGATTAGGAGGCAATCCGATGCAGGCATGCAACATATCCAATTTGCTGCAACTGCTATGAACATTTGGACTTCGGAATGAGCCAAACGAAGAGGGGTAAGACTTGAGGCTTGAGATATTCGATGAACAGATAAGTTTTGCAACAACCATCAACTTAGCAGAATTATACAGAAGAGCTATTACATACCTGTTGCTGGTAAACATGTGGTTTCGCCAGGTTGATATTTGCAAAAGCAAATGAAACTGTTTGAAGTTTGATTATATCCACAAACACCATCTGAATCTCTGCATCTTCTGCATTCATCGTTATCCAATTCCCATTGCAACTCAAAACCTCCCCTTAAAGCCTGCCCCATAGTCATCGGGTTCACTTCAAGATCCTGTGCGGCGGCTTCATAAACTGGAATCAGGACATTTCTACGGCAAACCCTGGGGCGAGGATCAGACAGAACGTTTCTAGTAGAATATGACACATCCATGAGGGTACCATTTATGGAGCAGTTGGTAAGAAAAATAAACGTCGAGGTTGCGGGTAGGTAGCAACCGTAGAACAGGGTGAGGTTCCTAAGGTTCGGGCTATAATCAAACTGATTGAAGTCGATTGCAGTGTCGATTAGTTCCCTGGGACAATAACCATTCCAGTAGTCCTCTCTAGCAACCTTAAGTATCTGTTGTTCGGGGTTTATGTTAAGAACTCGTAAGGTGTTTTCATTCATCATGATTTTGGCTACATCATCCTCGCACTTGAGCTCGAATCCTGGTCGACCACAGTAACTCGAACGGTTCATTCCCCAGAAAGGGTAACCGATGTTTGCGACACTTCCGCATGATAACATAGTCCTGCAGTTCGTGTATCGAGGATCATTGACGGATAAAATCATCGGAGCTCTGATCGAGACAACGAGAAAGAAGAAGAGGGGCAGAAGGGAAGATTTCGGAGAAGTAATTGGTTGCATCTTGTTGATTTTACAACAGTGCAGGGTTGAATGGATTTATGGAGTGTTTTTAATCCTTAAGGCTCAATGTTTGAGTCCTTTTCTAATGTGGGAATGTGCAGCAAATTACATAAGGTGTTGGAAAATTGAGTCACGAGTGATGCAAAAGTGTCTATGGAGACATCTATTATGAGGCAGAAAAGACAAAGCTTTACTGGCAGAATTTGACGGGAATTGTTTGAATATGCAATAATTTGAAAAAAATATATCTTTATTAAAATATTTTAAGATTTTTCTTTATGCAGGATAGATTAAATGAAGATCAGACCATTTAACCTGTAATTTATTGTTTAATGTAGGGAAATTTCTAATGATTACAAAGTAATATATTTTTTAAGTAATTTTAATCATTTGACAATGAGCGTTTAATTACTTTTACAATTGTCAGTGCTCGAACCCGTGACTTCTAGGAACAACAACGATTCCTTTAACCACTTCCTATTCTTACTTAAAAGCGATTACATATGTTGTAATTTTGTAGGAAGAATAAGTATGACTTTTGTGAACGATATTTGATCAAACAAACAACAATCAGATGGTTGAAATAATTGTCGTCACTTAAACTATATAATTATGAAATGAAGATATGGTAAAATTCCTATTTGAATGAAACAAACCAGTAAATCACAACATCAAGTGAAAAACGCTAACTAAATTCAAGGTGTAATCAAATAGACTTGAATTAGTAATTAACATTAGATTTAAGGCTTAAAGTTCGGTTTGAATTTGAATAATTTTTTTATAGTTTGAAATGATTACGACATAGTTTTTGTTCATAATCTTTCTTAATTATTGATAATGCACACATCCTAAAGATATAACTGCTCGAATCCATGACCTCAAGGAAGAACAACACTCTCTTTAACCTTATATCCAATTTGGTATTACTATTAAAAAGTAATTTAAAAAGTGCTGTAAAAAATACTTTTAAATGTGTTTTTGAAAAGTGCAGTTTAAAATTTTAACTGTTTGAAATTACTGTTAAAATCTAATTTTTGGTAAGATAAAATATCTATTTTAGATATTATGTTGTAAATTGAAAATATAATATTTAAGAATAAAAATATAATTTCACCAAAAATTGATTTTCTACCGCAAAAATTAGAAATTAGAAATTTGAGTTTAGCGTTACTTATTGAGTGATAAATCATCTTTTTATTGCAAAAAAAATGGAAAAATTATATGATATATAGATTGCAATAAAATTTGTACAAATTTATTTTTTATGATATCAATATAATAAATATTAAAAACTAAAATTACTATATATAGGCTTAATTATAATTATTTTTTATTAATTACAAAATTATTATATTTTTAAGATAAATGATAAAATTTAAACTCATGTAAAATAAAATAATATACACATCATTGACCGGCCAACCAATTAATGAATCTTCAGTCCTAACTAGAGTTATAACAATTATGCCATTTGATATATATATTAAATGTTCCATCAAAAATAGAAACTCTGTCTGATGTTAGGTTTTAATCATTTATTAAAGTTCAGTGGAATGGAAAATAATGGAGTAATAAATCATAATAGTGAATATTGTTTTGTTGTAAAAAAAAAATGAAGAGTAAATACCTTGGCGACGGCATTCGTTGGGGTATCGATATTCCAGTAAATTCTGACTTAGGTGTGGGCAGTAGCAGAATGTTTGACCGTCGGAGATGTTAAAACCGCAGGCTCCGCCGGAAGCATTGCACTTGAGGCAGGCTGAGGTATCCTCCTTCCATTTCACCTGGAACCCTGTTTTCATGGCTACTCCCAAAACCAATGGCAAGGAGGGATTACCGCTAAACCCTGTCCAGTAGGCTTGAAAAATGGGAAAAGTGAGACTTGCCAAACATCCATCTAAGCGGATATTACCCGTCGTTACCGAAACATTGTTGTAGCTTGAAGAATTGCAAGGGAAGAATCCAAGACTGGATGAGGATGACGGGGGGCAGTCATAAAACAGAGTAGCATTGGTATAACCGGGAGCAGGAGGAGGAGCAGGCCCAAGATCCAACAGCTCATAATCTATTACGGAATCTCTGATCGGAGAATGTGGTCTACAAAACCCATTTTTGAACAAGTCCTCCCTCGCAATCCTTAGAGTTCGACGGTCCGGATGGATGTCCATCACCCGATACCTTACACCAACCATTTCAAAGGTGGTAGTATTAGAATGATGACAGTGAAGCTCCAAACCAGGATGTCCGCACTCCGGTATTCGATGACCCCCAAAGAAAGGATACCCGATGGAGATGTTCCCACATTCGAACCTTGCTTCACTGCAGTTTTTGTAAATCAGATAAGTGCTTAGTGAAACAGGAAAACAAAGCATCACTAACAATAACCACAACATAGCATGAGGCAGAGATGATGAGAAAGAAAGATGATTCATTTCCTTTTTCTAAATTTTCAGAGGAAAGAAGGCATAGAATAAGGCCAATTATGATGAATCATATAGGTATATAGGAAGGATTGTCTTTGCTCAACTTCCCAAGAATTTTAAGCAAACAGAAAGTGATCGAAACAAAGACTTGACAATATGAATAGTCGGGTTGACTTATAAAGGACTTTAGGCTTTTGTTTTACCAAAGGCATTGATTTAGGGTTTAACTCTGAATTTAGTCTCTCTACTTCACAGAAATTAATAAAGTTTGTCTCTCTTTTTATGTTATCAAATTTGGTCCTTATACTTTACCAAACTAAGAAGTTAACCTAATTGTGTCTAAACACATGAACTTACTGTTAATTTGTTACAAATAAATTGTTGGTTTTTGGTCCTTGTACTTTACGAAAATAATAAGTTAATTTCACTATTGGTAAACATATTTTTGTATCTCCTCCGTAAAGCGTGCTTCCAAGTCTTGTCCATCTCCAAATTTTTATGTCCTCTTGAGTGCTATAGTTCATTAATCTAATCCTAGTCAATTTCATCGTCGATTAAATTTATTATAAGACAATAAGGTCTATTCTCCCTGTTAAGCCGACAAATAGATATCATCGCTCTAGACCTAAAGAGACATATAAATCGTCATACTAAAAAGAAAGAGGATTCTCTCTCTTTTCCTCTCTCGATCTCTCTCTCCACATCTTCTTCAACTCACCTAAATCACCGATAGTTACCCTCCACCTAAAATGGAAAAGATAAACTGCCTATATATATCATATATCACTTTTACCATCAACATATATAAATATCAACAGCTAATTTAGGTATAATTTCTATATAGTCCTTGTAAAATTTTTGAAATGATGATTTGATCTAATTGAACAACTATACTCTACCCACCAACATGACGTTTGTTTTTGCCTCTGGTATTATCCAACTAGACTTGCTTCTTTGTTTTTGTAAAGTATTAAGGCCAATTGCTGATAAATTAAAGTAGATGAAATAGCTTGTTAATTGTCATAAAACAGAGGGTGAAATTGAGAATTAGACCCTTTTATTTCAAAGGGCAAAGTCTAAATAATCTTTATCAGCAGTGTCTTGCGTGTCGTGTGAGCCACAGTTAATATTAAATGTGAATGCAAATTGAAAATTTCAACATGGAAAGTCTACGGGATTATCTCAGGAAAGGCGGGTTAATATACGATATTATCGGATACATTATAATATATTTAATAAAATGGGTTCAGCGCTACCGAAAATATTGAGTAATAATAATATAGTAGGTCTAAATCATGAAGAAATATTAAAAAATTTGACAACCGACAAACTTAGCTTGTCGATTTGTGTCGATACAAATGAAAAATACATCAAATCTACACTGACTAAGCTAAAGCACTTGAAGGTTAATAAATATTCATTTAGAGCAAGTTTGATAATTGACCATCCGCCATCCATGACCCAGGATATTTTCATCAAGATTCAAATTTCAAGAAACCAATCTTTAAAGATTTTCTTCCATAGCTTTTTAGTTTAAAACATGCCAAAAAATGCTGAAGTACCTGTCGTAACTGGTTTTCGTCCGGGCACGAAATATTATACTTGGCGGGGAAATTGATGTGAATAAATAGTTTTGAAAATAATTTGAGAGTCGCCATCGGCCTTTTGGATCAGGTAGGTCGAATACCTAAAAATTATTTTCTTTAAAGAGTTTTAAGAAAACATCAATAAAAAAAATGAACTGATCTGCGTTTTATAACCAAAAATTCGTTCTTTTTAATAAAAAGGGATTCGTGGTCGGTTACGTTTAGGGAAGGATTAGCACCCCTACAACGCCCAAAATTGGTACTTTTTAATTATAAATTGTCTCTATTATTAAATTTTAAAAATTCAAAAAATATATTTAATTTTAATCTTATTATTTCAAAATTATATAAAAATATTTATTTTTTTAATATCTGAAAAGAACTTCTAGGTGCCTCAAGACAGCTCTTTTCTTTGATATTGATAAATATTGGATTTAAATAATATTGTTTACTTTTTAATTTTAAAATATCAGAATAGGACATCCAGTTGTATTAAGACTGTCCTTTTTCTTCGATATTAAAAATAATATTTAAAAATACTATTTTTTTATTTATAAAATATTTAATATTTAATAATATAATAAAAATACAAATATTACTAAACAATATATTTAAAAACAACAAAATAAATGAAAACATATAAATAACTAAAAATAAAATTAAAATCTAATTCATAATTAATCAAATTATAGGATTAAATATGTTATTTCTTTATTTGGTGACTAAAATAAAATTATCTAAAATTGGATATTAGAATCAAATAAATTAAAAATAAACTAAGGATTGAAATATTATTTATTAAAATTAATGGATTAAATCTGTAATTTATCCTAAATATATTTTTAATATGAAGGACTAAAATGAATAAAATTAATTTTCGAAGACTAAATTAAAAATTATTAAAATTCAGTTTAGTGACCAAAATGTAAAATTACAAATATGAAGGACTGCGGAAGGGATTTAACTTTTCCTAATTACGCGCATAGTCCTTCCCGAAACGACGTCGTCGGGAAGGACTATAAGAGTCCAAATCGGCTGGCCCGAAGGGGCCAATTCCTCATTTCCTTCTCTCTCTCTAAACCGAGAGAGTTTAAAAACTCTCTCGCCTCTCTCTAGCTTCCCTCACCGGGGGAAGCCGGTCACGGTCGGCCACCGTGTGCCGCCGTGATTATCACCGCCGGCCACCGTGGCCGGAAAATTGTATTTTGACACCATTAAATAGATCGGGACGTCTTAAGGACGTTTCCGGTGTTCTTTTTCCTTAAGAAGCTCCCAATCGGAGCAAATCTACAAATATACCTTCGGTTTTTGTTGGTTCTGACGAGATCCGGTGGTCGAGGCTTCCTCGGTAAGTCTCCTCTTCCTTTTTCTTTTTTTTTTCTGGTTTTCTTGCTGCTGAGATCGTTGGTAATAGTTTGGATTTCTCTTTTTTTTTTTTGTCTCTTTCTCGTCTCTTTTTTTTTTCTGTCTCTCTGTCTCGTTGTATATCTCTGTCTTTTTTTTTTTTCGCAGGTGGGTGGTGGCTTTTATAGCCACCACCGGTGTTCGTCTCGGACCGGTCCGAAGAGGGGGCTTCGGTGAGTCACCGGACTACCAGTGGTGACTCACCCCGTAGCCTTGCATGGACGGCTGGTATATGATCTTCTGGAGTCTTCGGTTGGGATGTGGCAGCGGCGGAGGCGGCGAGGGCTGTCGGCAGCCGCGTGGAAGCTGGAGCGGCGCCGCGTGGCCCTAGGGTATCAAACCCTAGGGTTTCCTTCTGGCACCATCTGGACCGTTGGATCTTATCAGATCCAACGGCTGTGAGCTGAGGCGGCTGATCAAATTAGGGTTAGGAAATCCTAACTGGAAACCCAAATATTTAGGGTTTCTAGTTGGATTTGGACCGGTTCTGGTTGGTTTGTAACTGGGCCGGTTCAATTGTAATTGGGCCTGTAATATTTTTTTTTTATTATTTATTTATGTATTTAATATTAATATAATAGTATAATAATATAATAATAATAATAATAATAATATAATAATAATAATAAATAATAATAATATAATATAATAATATAATAATAATATGGATAAAAAATTAGTATCTTCAGCTGCCCCTCTTTGCTCATTCTTGTGTTAACAAGAATAGGGCAAAGATGAAAAGATAATAAATTTTTTTATCCATTTGACTTTACTTTGAACATAATGGAGATATTGAATAAATTCTTCTCTCTCTCCAAATAAGTTCTTCTTATTATGAACTTTCTGCTGGGGATGATGATGACTTCCTTTCTGTGATAGAGTCATTCAAAAGGTTGAATAAACTCTTGATGAGTTCTTCTCATTATGAACTTTCTCTAGAAAGGCTGATGCTAATCTATCTCCTTCTGTGATAACATCAAACAAAGGTTGAACAAGCTCTTCTCATTATGAACTTCTTCTTCCTTCTTCAGATGAGTTCTTCTCATTATGAACTTTCTCTGGAAAGACTGATCCATCAATTGATGAATTCAGGTAAAAGGTTGAACAAATTCTTCTTATTATGAACTTCTTCTTCCTTCTTCAGATGACGAGTTCTTCTCATTATGAACTCTACCTGGCAATGTTGATCCATCAAATGATGAATTCAAGCAAAAGGTTGAACAAATTCTTCTCATTATGAACTTCTTCTTCCTTCTTCAGATGACGAGTTCTTCTCATTATGAACTCTACCTGGCAAAGATAATCCATCAATTTGATGAATTCAGAAAAAAGGTTGAACAAGTTCTTCTCATTATGAACTTCTTCTTCCTTCTTCAGATAAGTTCTTCTCATTATGAACTTTCTGCTGGGGATGATGATCCATCAAATGATGAATTCAAACAAGAAGTTGAACAAGTTCTTCTTCAGATGAGTTCTTCTCATTATGAACCTTCTCTGGCAAAAATAATCCATCAAGTGATGAATTCAGAAAAAAGGTTGAACAAGTTCTTCTCATTATGAACTTCTTCTTCCTTCTTCAGATGAGTTCTTCTCATTATGAACTCTACCTGGAAAAGAATGATCCATCAAATGATGAATTTAAACAAAAGGGTGAACAAATTCTTCTCATTATGCACTTCTTCTTCCTTCTTCAGATGAGTTCTTCTCATTATGAACTTTCCCTTGCAATGTTAATCTTTCAAATGATAGATTTGAACCTTTGCTAAAATCTTTAAAATTCCTGTTAAAAATTCAACAAGAATAAAAATGAATGAAAATGCACCTATTTTTGTAAACACCTAAAATATGATGCATGAATGTTAAGTTATTTGATTTCAGATTGGTGAACTGAGTATTTCTTCAGTTGTAGAAACACAATAGATCTTTCTTCTTCAAATCAGAGAATCTATCATCTTTGACAAATGTAGATGTAGATATGATGTCACAAAACCTCTTGTGAATAAAACTCAATAGTATAAA